CCGTTTATATGTGTTTTCCCTGTAAGCAAACTGCTTGATTTCCTCCGAGGGTTGTCATGGTAATCTCTTGGAGTATTTTGGCTATTGAAATGAGAATTTGTACCAGTCAGCTCATCTGAAGGTCTCTGTGCTGAAGTTCCTCATTTTCTTCAGCTCTTAGAGAGATTTTTTAAAAAAAAGAGCTGTCAGCCTCCCTGACTTAAATGGTAATTGCTACTTAAAAAAATATTTTACCTCAACAAATGACTTATTTATTGAAGAACATTTATTGTTATTATTTGTATCAGAGCTTTTCTATCAGTGGGGGGAGGAGCTGCACACAGACCTATACAAAGGTGTTCGCTGTGTTTACCTTAAAGGCGTGTCTTGCAGAATCACATACAGCACAGAATTCAGACCTGGACCCTTTTCCGCTGGGATTAGCAATTAGCCACGTAAAGAACGAGTTTGCGTGCCTGTCCTCAAGACCTGCTACTTTATTATTACTCCCCATGGGAAATCCAAGATGGCCGACGTGGGTGGGCGCCATGGCAGCGCCAAAAGCAAGCGCCTCGCCATAGGAACGCTGCCGCCCAGCCAATAGGAGGGCCGACGTGGAGCATTTTGAATAATGCCCAGAGAGACGTCAAGGGCAGGGCAACCTTGGCACAGACGAGACAGGGCCGAAAGAAGCTGCGAATGATTAGTACTATCTGCGCTAAAACAAACGAGATGTCATGTTATCACATGACCATAGAGGCCCAATCCGGAATGATCCTCCTCAGCGACCAGGGTCTTACTGTGCTGGGGGCTGTGAAGGTGTCTGTCATACAAGTATTAGATCCAGGGCTATCAACTGAAAAGTTTCACCGTTTCTATAAGCGTGTGCTTTCAGAAGACAGTGATGATGAAAGTGTAGCAACTAGCAGAGGTTTTCTTCTCAAAACTGTTTACCCCTCCAGTCAATATTAACACACCACTAATGTGTTTTGAAATAAGAAGGTTCTGGTAGGTTTCCCAACCACTGATGAAGGTGAGGACTACAGTACTAAGAACTATTCACTCTGCTTGATTTCGCTTAGTTATGCCTTATTTCTGTCTGCCTTTTTGTTTTACTTAAAACCACAATGCGGCAGGAGATTTATACTCTAAGGGTAGGTGTGTTAAGATGCCAGTAAAGACTAATTGATTCCTGCAAATGTTAAAGTAAAAGAGGACATTGCAACCAAATTGTCCGGAGGTGTGCATGTGTGAGTGACCGGTGTGTGAGTGACCGGTGTGTAAGCAGATGCACCAGGAGTGTGCGACCACAGTGATGGGGTGATACCTCTCATCTCTTCCTCATTCATCAAGTTAATGTTCCAGTCTCACTGGTCTTTTCCGGGTTCACATTCACTATCCGGAATAGCCA